GCCTGGCTGCCTGTGTGGCCGCAGGCCTGCCCCGCCCCGCCCCGCCCCGCCCCGCTGCGGGCGGGACCCGTCTGGCACCTGCCACCTCTGCCCGCAGGCCTGGGCGTCCCCGGGCCGCCCCCTTGGTGCTCCTTGCCCGGGGCCCTTCCGTCCTCCTGGGACCTGCCCGGTCCTGGCCCCTTGGCAAGGGCTGTGCGCATTGGTCACAGCAGCAGCTTCCCTGCACGAGCTGGTTGGGAGGCCTCCACTGCGCAACGGTTTGCCCCCCTTGCAAAAATAGATGCCAGCCCTTGCTGTGAGTTGCTTCCTTCTAAATTTGTCCCTGGCGGGGTGGTTTGGCTCCAAATCGGCCCCGGGGATGCTGGGTTTGAAACCTGCTAAAATAGCTCATGCATTCATATTTAATAACTGCATAGTCTCGCTGGGATGGCTCCATGCACAGGCTGAGAGTTTCTTGAACGCCTTCCTCCTGCATCTCTTACTGGGGGGGTTCAGCATCCTGAAAATAACTCTTGAAATGCAGCAAATCAGAGGTTTGCCCCCTGAATTTGGCTTGTCACTCTTAAAAGTCTGCTAATGGTGGAGCACAGAGTTGAACAGATTGATTTGGTAAAAGGAAGCCTCCAGTTCTCCTGTAGCACAGGAGAGCATTTTTTTTTTTCTTCCTGTTTGCTGTAATTGGAAAAAGTGAAAAGATATACTGGAAGGCGGTTGGCAAGAAAGCTAAATGCATTGGGTAAAGCCATGAATTTCTAGTGTAAGGCTAGGTATTAGTAAAAGATTGGGGCAATGCTGTAGTGAAGCCAAGCCTGGCTGCCAAATTTAGCTGCTAAGAGGTGAATGTCCGGGTGTCAGAGGTCCTGTCCCTTGCCCTCGAATAGGAATGCTATCAGTCTCTTGAGCAGTAAGGGTGAATTTTTCCAAATAGGGGAGGAAAAAGCAGAAGAGGTGAACACCTGCCATTTACTTGGCATCCTCATCCTGGCTGTTCATAGCTCTGCCCAGCAACAGGGAATTTCAGTTTGGCTGTTGTCCAGGGGCATTTGAATGACAGGAATAGAAGCACTGCAGCAGTTTGTAGATTCTGGAAGACAAAAACCTCACTGGTTTTCACTTTCTTTACGTTTGGGAGCCTATCTAGCTCTGTCGTCTCTGGAAGCTATTTCTGAGGTCACGAACCTGTTTTTTGGGGAAAAAGGCTGAGTTGAGTTTTGCAGTTTTGAAGTTGATTGTTTTATTGGCCTGATACCTGATATATTTATTTATTACCTGTGGCTCTAACACTTTTTCCACATGGCAACGTACTAAATTTTCCATCATAGCTTTTTATAGGGTTGAATAAACCGGATTCGGTTATGAGCTGTTTCTCCATTGCTGAGCCAGTGGTGCTGCTCTTACCAGATCAAATTTGTTATTTGGCCCTGTTTAACCTAATTTTATGGCTCATTGTGAATGTGTTCATAATAATAAAAGTAAGTGTTTGATGGCTAGTCTTGTGTACACTGTTGGCATGCCTTCAGTTTGGGGTCTCTGTCTGACTTTGGACAGAACCCTGGAATTCTGTCTCTGTTCCAAGCCATATTTAATACTCACCTGGCAGTGCAGTTGGTTTGTTTAATCAATGCATTAGTAAGTTAGTCCAAACATTGTTTACATTAACATGGTACACTTTGTACCAGAGTACATTTGAAACACCTGTGAACTTTTCTGCAAAGGCCAGAAAGAGACCCAGTGGTGTCTGATGGAACTTGCAAGTGATCTGTTGACTTCAAATGAATCTTAAGTTTCAGTTAGTTTTGCATTTTGAAATTTTAATCAAAGCACAAGCTAACTTACTTACATATGGTATCTTCATATGGTAAAGTAGGATGAGATTCAGTACTCCTATAGACAGAAGTTACAAAACTTGGTGTTTAACTCTGCCATGGTACTCCAAACTTGTTTGCCAAAGCTGAATTTTGAAAGTGAAATGGTTGTAAAGTGGCTAAATCTTGTTGTTTTTATATGACTTGGGCAGCCCCTTACATAAACTTGGACATGTTTTCACATTCAGTTTGTCTGGTCAAAAGACTTGCTATCTTAGTAATAATCTTCAAAGTACATCTTTAGAATCACAAGGATATTTTAATTTAAAAAAATCTGTCTAAAAATCTGTGTACAGGATGGACTGTATCCCACAGCAGCCATTCTCTGAAAGCAGAACTTTGTGTTGGAATACTGTGGAACCTTGAAAGAAAGTTTCTTGGGACTTGCATAGTAAAATAGCTGGTTCTTCAGAAATGTCATTCAATTCAGCTCCTGAATTCCTTCGGTATAAATGACATCTTTGTACAACATAAGACTATGCTGCAAATAATAAAAAAAACACTATGTTGAGATAACAAGGCTCCTGCATAATAAATAACAAGGTAGATTTAGTTAAATAAATGAAATGTAAGGTTAGAGAGAAACTCCTCTAAAGAAAAGCAGCGGTCGGACACTCTCACGCAGGAGATAAACGAGATTCTTATTCAAATTAATAGCTTTTGATCTTCCTGCACTCACCAGTACAATAACTTGTCTGCTGAAAGGCACACCTAATTGTCAAACTGGATGACTTCTGGATTGTAAACCTCCTTGACAATATTGCTTTATCTAGCAATTCTACATCTATTGCTTAAGGAAGCATAAGCTGTCGGTAAATTAATCTTGGCATGAACTTGAGAGGAAGGCTTGTGGGAAGGGAAGAATCAACCCAGAGGTACTAAAATTCAAGGCACCTTTTATCAAATTCAACTATAGTTGTAATATTAAGAATCTGACTACTTTGTACAATAGAAAAATGCACCTTTGCCTCCTTCATCCCCCTCTGGCAAGTTTGAAAAGGACATTTAATTTGGGCTTTATTTTAAAAGATTAGAACAAAAATCTTAAAGGTTAGTCTTCAGTGAGTAAGAGGGTTTTAAAACTGTTTTGCTGATGATGATAGTGAAATTGCTGTATATGACCCACATTTCCCATTAATGGGTGTCAAGGTATTGTAGTGCCTTGACAGCCATTGTTTATAGTTTTATCCAATGACCTGTGAAAATAAAAGGCATTTTGGTTGGCTAGATGGCCTTTATTGAATTTGTTTTAATTCTTTAAGTTAAAAAAATCTCCTGCAAAACTATTAATAAATCAATATGATTATTCAAATTAACTTTAAAATGCATTTATACATCTGTGTACATACATGCATGTTTTCCCTTTAAATGCAACTTGTAAAACCAAATACAGATTTGCAAAGGTTTGGTCTTTTTAAAACTAAATTTTGGATTACATGTGGCCTGCCAGTATTCCTTTAAAATTCTGCCCAATACATGTTCATTGTTGTATTGGTACTGTGGACATGGTGACTGTACAGGTGGAATATGTGTGATTCTTTTCTGAGATTCTTTGTGTTGTATTTTTGCAGCTCCACACAACCTAAGCATCTCCCTCTGGAACTAGAAGTTTAGGTCACATAATCTTAAGAGGTGATATTTAATTCTTATGTAAAATCAATGTGGAGGGAACTACTGCTAGCAAGAATAAGAGATCCCTCACTACTCATCAGTAGAGCATGTTTAACACTAGCTGATATTACTAGTAGGAGAACAAACTGCACTCTAAACCAGGAGCAGAAAGCCTTTTACATCAGTTGAACTGGTCACGTTCATGACTGAACAGAAACATAATGCACCTTTTTTTTTTTTTATAAAGCTTTTCTTCATGAGTACTACTTGGGGTTAAACAAGTTGCATATATATTAGGAGGCACTTCAGTGTAAATATTTGTTTAAATATGGAAAATCTGCTTTTTGCCCCCACATTTTAAATAGACATGATTTTAGAGCCTTTTGATAGGCTAAGTTTATGAGCAGATAACCAGATTTTGATATAGGCATGTCTGGTGTCAAAATTTAAGCCGTACCTAGTGAGTTGTATTCTGTTTTGTTTTTATTTTTATTATCTTAAATAAAATCCAAATTTCACTGAAACCCTAGCACACATCTAAACTGCTTCTGTTACAGTTTTATACATCTGAAGTGCAAACATTGCATGGATAGGGAAACAAACAGTTAAGGGCTCCAGTCTATTGCAACTCTTCTTTCAGTGTTTCACCACCCAACTCTTTTGGTGTTTCCCCATCCAACTTTATTTTTGCAAGTTGCTGCCATCCGTGGACAAGTAAAAATAAAAGGTACTAGAACAATAGAAACTGATCCTTTGAATAGGAAATAAAATCATTTTTCAGATAACTTGTTCTAACCTCTTTGTATATCTCTACAGAATGTAGTAGGAAGCCAGGTATGGGGTGGCAGTGTAACATAAGGTGATAGTGAAAGACAGGATTACGTGGCAGTTAGCTGTGTTAGCCTGAAGTCAGGCAGAATAAGGTGGCACCTTACAGATTTAGAGAGGCATGAGCTTTGGTTAGGTAACGAATTGCTAGCTACAAACTTCCAGATAGTGTTTGGGAGACTGAGAAGAATGTCTCTACTACTTCTATTATATGTATAAACTGTCTTTGTACTTTAAAGTGCAAATTGTCTAGAATATTGCCATGAGCTAATTGAAAGGCTAAATAGTCTCTAAATGAAGAATATAAAGAATCGGAAAGTAATGTTTAAACTGTTGTTGCCAAAAAAAGCTTCCTAGTCTAGTCTTCTCTTCTTGTAAAAGAGAACTTTTGTAACTAGCAGCTTTAGTGCTTCTTCAAGCATAAACCCATCCTAAGCACTTCAGTAGCAAAGCTATCCCAGTAAGATGGTGATTGTCACTAAGTCATACTAGTAAGAGCCCCAGTGTAGGCCCATTTGTACTAGTACAGGCATACTTCGTTTTGTGCTTCGCTTTATTGTGCTTCGCAGACATTGTGTTTTTTACAAATTGAAGGTTTGTGGCAACCCTGCGTCGAGCAAGTCTATCAGCGCCATAGACTTGCTCGACGCAGGGTCGACGCCGTCTACTCTGCCTGTGCTCTATAAATGGAACAACAAAGCCTGGATGACAGCACATCTGTTTACAACATGGTTTACTGAATATTTTAAGCCCACTGTTGAGACCTACTGCTCAGAAAAAAAGATTCCTTTCAAAATATTACTGCTCATTGACAATGCACCTGGTCACCCAAGAGCTCTGATGGAGATGTACAACGAGATTAATGTTGTTTCATGCCTGCTAACACAACATCCATTCTGCAGCCCATGGATCAAGGAGTAATTTCGACTTTCAAGTCTCAAGTCTTATTATTTAAGAAATACATTTCGTAAGGCTATAGCTGCCATAGATAGTGATTCCTCTGATGGATCTGGGCAAAGTAAATTGAAAACCTTCTGGAAAGGATTCACCATTCTAGATGCCATTAAGAACATTCGTGATTCATGGGAGGAGGTCAAAATATCAACATTAACAGGAGTTTGGAAGAAGTTGATTCCAACCCTCATGGATGACTTTGAGGGGTTCAAGACTTCAGTGGAGGAAGTAACTGCAGATGTGGTGGAAATAGCAAGAGAACTAGAATTAGAAGTGGAGCCTGAAGATGTGACTGAATTGCTGCAATCTCATGATAAAACTTTAACGGATGAGGAGTTGCTTCTTATGGATGAGCAAAGAAAGTGGTTTCTTGAGATGGAATCTACTCCTGGTGAAGATGCTGTGAACATTGTTGAAATGACAACAAAGGATTTAGAATATTACATAAACTTAGTTGATGAAGCAGCGGCAGGGTTTGAGAGGATTGACTCCAATTTTGAAAGAAGTTCTACTGTGGGTAAAATGCTATCAAACAGCATCGCATGCTACAGAGAAATCTTTCGTGAAAGGAAGAGTCAATCGATGCGGCAAACTTCATTGTTGTCTTATTTTAAGAAATTGCCACAGCCACCCCAACCTTCAGCAACCACCACCCTGATCAGTCAGCAGCCATCAACATCGAGGCAAGACCCTCCACCAGCAAAAAGATTACGACTCGCTGAAGGCTCAGATGATGGTTAGCATTTTTTAGCAATAAAGTATTTTTTAATTAAGGTATGTACATTGTTTTTTAGACATAATGCTATTGCACACTTAATAGACTACAGTATAGTGTAAATATAACTTTTATATGCACTGGGAAACCAAAAAATTCGTGTGCCTCGCTTTATCGCGATATTCGCTTTATTGCGGTGGTCTGGAACTGAACCCACAATATCTCCGAGGTATGCCTGTATAAAGCACTCTATCCCAGTGCAGGTTAGATCTGAGTCAGCAAGGTACTCTTGTACAAGCAGGAGAGCTGAAGGGGATTTTTCTTTCTCTAACTGCACCAATGTAGTAAGGTATATGGAGAAAACACTTTAGTCATCATTCCCCTCCCCCATGTGTGAAACAAGTTCACTTTCTGCCTTAGGCAGATGGGTTTCTTTGGCAAGAGCAACATCCTCAAGTAATACAGCACTTCCTTAATCCTCTTCCTTTGTGCAGACCTCCTACCTCAAGTCAGCCCCTCATCCCCTTTCACCAAGAAGAGAAGGTCCCAGATCCTTGGCTTATTTTGCTCTATTCCCCTTTGAGACATTTTGCTTTATTCCCCTTTGCTGAAAACTGACAAAATCTCCTGGATCAAAAACTCCTTTCCCCTACCACATCGTGGGCTAAAAACAGAATCCTTGAAAAAAATACTGGGCTTAGAGTGCTGTCATGATAAAACAGAGCCAGCTGTGAATAAAGCCCCGGGGTGGGACAGTACAGAACATATCAAAGTTTCTCTGAATTATGCTGGGTTCCTGGATGATGAAAAGCTGTCACTAAACTGTGCCATTGAGCTCTGTTCAGCTAGGCCTAGCTCTTATTGAGCACTGCTCAAAACTGTAATTTAGGTTATACTAGCTAAACCTGCCAGTCATTTTCAGCAGTGTTCTAGGCTTGCTTTAAGATCTCATTTTTGGTCTGATTTTGTGAGAGATTTCGCCATGTAGTCTGAGCTGCAAAGCCCCTCCTGGCTATCAAGTGTCTTAAGGTTTCCACCACTCACTTCCTTCCCCTGATGTTGGGAGCAAGTGGTGGTGGGGTTTGGAGAGGTGAGACCAGGTATGTTGGAGCAGCTAGTGCAGGAGTGACCGCTCTGGCTTATGTTACCAGGTTTCTGACCCCCTGGTCAGCAAGCCTGTGACCGATTCGTAAGTGGCATCGGGACAGAATTACAACGCTGCTGAGCTTGCATCAAAACACCACATTGCTGCTTTTGCTTCATTGTGGTCCAGAGTTTACTCTGGGTGCATGTCTCACTTATCCTTTAGTAGCCTGCTATATGTGAACGCCAGCATGTGCGCACACACAAAGGATGATAACATTAAACAGATTAAGCACTGGACTGAAAACCTATAACTTTGGCCAAATTTGTCTGAGTTAGTTTCAACTTAATCTAAATTGGGGGCTGTAACTCTTTTAGAGTAGTGCCCACTGATGTACTTGGTACTTCTGTGTGATTGGATCCTTTCTATCTAAAATGCCTCCAATTAAAAGTACTTTAACTGGGAAATTTTCCCTCTTATCACTTAAGACAGCTTGAGCGTTCCTAGTTCCGAGAAGCAGGCTGAGTACTACGCTGTCTTGTTCCTCCACCACTGGAGGCATTCACCCCTGTGCACCCCCTACCCATTGCCACCAATTCCTCAGCAGCTGCCTGTAGGTGAGGCTTTTTCCATGAGCTGCTCTTACTTGGAACTCCTTCCGCACCATGGTCCAATGCGGCTATTATGGAGCATCCCGTGGGAGTCAACACATGGCTTATTCCTCTCTTTATCAAACCAGCTTTTTTCAGGAGTGGGACATCCTGGGGAGATGTCTAAAGACACCTCATCTCTAGATTTAGAAGGTAACTGATACCACAGCTAAGCCCAGTTAATGTTGAGTTACAAACCATGATCCCAAACACGCTTTGTGCAAAAAGCTAGGGTTAATTAAAACCTGATTATGAGCTCTGCTTGTACCTTACCTGCTGAAATAAGGCGCTGATGGTGGCTGAAAGCTTCTGAGAAATACTGCTGTCAAAATTAGTGTTGGGAGCCCTTAAAGCCAGTAAGCTATGAGTAGTAAATTGTGCAGCAAGTTCCCTGATGAGGGTGGCCTATTTCTAATTACTTTTTGACACTCTCTCCCTTATTCCCTTTCTCACTTCTCTGCTAGCAAGACCTGGAATTTTGACTTCTAATAAACCATTTAGGATAACAGGCTGTTTCTTAACATATCTTAAAAAATACTGTTGTCTTCATATAACAGTATTTTCCTTTGGTGCTCTAAATTTTCTTTTCATTTATAAATCACAACCATATCCCTGTATCAGCTCTGCACATGAAGCTTAACTGCTGTATCTAGCACAGGCCATCCAGTTAACATTATAACTTTATGTACTCAGGGTTGTTAGCCAGATCCCCTGTTCCAAACTTCCATTCTGGTATGGGAATTCATATCCGATGCCATGCCTTGTACAGCAGCTGTTTTTTACAGGTAGTAATACTTGATTCTTGTGGCAAGTCATGCCCTTTTTCAGAAGAACTACAGTTTTGAATGGTTTATGAATAGTTCCTTCAAAAAAAAAATCTGGCTTACTGCAGTTCTGGCTGTCTACTAGATATGCAAGTTCTCCAAACTGAAGTCTCATTTACAGAGGTCCTTGCTTTAAAAAAACGGACTCTTGCAACATTTGGCCACTTGTTGTGGGATCTGAAATGTGTCTTTATCCATTGATGGCTTTAGATACCTGCAAACATATAGCGCTCTGCCAGATGAGGGAAATGTGACATCAGGGTTAACGTTCAGGTCAAATACTCGGCTTGGTTCTTCTCCATACTGTCTTACAGTGCAGAATGGTCATGTAAAGCAGGGCTGTCAAACTGATAGCCTGCAGGGCTGTTAAACTGATAACATGTAGCCCACAGCCTCTTCCCAATCTCCACTGCACTGCTTCCTGCCCCCCCTCCCCCCATTGCTCTCCTTTCCTCTGGCTTCTGTTTTCTAGGGTGGCATAGTGGAAGGGGGGTCTAGGGTAGTGTTGGTACTGCCTACGTGTTCCCAGGAGCAGGTGGCTTGTGGGAAAGGAACTGGGCTATGGCACAGAAGTTGGACAGCCCTGGTATAAGGGATCCTCTAGCTGATTGGTTGGGAGGACTCGGGCAGTAGGGGTTGGAAGAGTGCATTTCTGACTCTGCTTACTAGTTAGTGCTTGCAGTGCTCTGACAAACTCCTTCCAACAGAGCTCTGCCTCTAAAGAGAGGTGGGTTACATTCTAGTTCTGAGGTATAGAAGAGATGGAAAAGAGCAGCAGATCCTTCTTGCACCAAAGTCACCAGTTAGCAGGCTGGTTAAGAGTGGTTCCTCTACGTATTTGCTGTGCTCTTGCTTTCAAAAGACTAATCTTTTTTCTTCATATGTACAGCCTTTGGTCAGTGTGAACTGCAGATATGCTTGGCTGCATTTCTGTTTCCATAACACCACTCATGCCCACACTAGATAAGTAGTGCAGAAGCTCCTTTTGAGTGGCTGAATACTTATAAAAATATGAGAACAATTGGATGAGTGAGGGTGATCCATCTCGACTGTTACAACTTCTTCACTGCTGGGTGTTAATGTGGCATAATGCAGCAGGTTTTTTTTTTTTTGAAGGACTTGAATTTTCTGTGAGCATTAAAGTGTATTCTTCATGAAGTTACCATGCAAAATATATATCTTCATATTTCCCCTCCCTTCTTCCCCCTTTCCTTAGAGAAACCTCTGAATGGTAGGAAGAGGTTGCACATACTCCTGGTACAATTCTTAATAGTGAACTGCGAAGTTCACTTCAGAGAGCACAGAACAAGGGCAGACCTTCAGTGCCTGATATTCAAGTTGCTTTGAAAAGGAGACGCATGCTTCACACCTTGGTCTCTCAAACTTTATCTCCCTCAGTAAAACAGTGGCTCTGCACTCAGTCCTCCATTGCACTGTTTAGAGGGCTCTGATATGTGAGTAATGGATTAAAATATACTGCCAGCATGTCATTATCACAGATGGTTATTCTGTCTTCCCTTAGCACTTTCCCTCCTGGTCATAGTGTGTGCTTCTCAGCTGCACCCCTGGGAGACTCCTTGACCTCACGTGGCTGCATTTTGTCTGCTGGGCTCTCCTTAGGTCTGTTCCAGGATAGCATTTCTTCTAGCCCAGGGGTGGGCAGTTATTTTGGGTGGAGGGCTGTTTACTGAGTTCTGGCAAGCCATCAAAGGTCACGTAACAGATAGTCAGGGCAGAGAAACATTACTTTTCTAAATTTTTAGGGGCTCCATGGGCCAAATAGAATGACTTGGTGGGCCACATTTTGCCCACCCCTGTTCTAGCCTCTGTCGGATTGCTGCTGTAGTTATTGGCTCTGCTGGCCTGTGGCTGCTGCCTGGCCCTCCATATTTCCAGATGATTTCCAAACTAGAGGTAGTGGGTGAATGCTTCCCTCCCCCACCCACCAAATTGCTTATTCCAATTCTTAATGTTTTCACCTCATGTATTTGCTTCCTAGTGATGCTCTTAAGTGGAGATAATATTTTGGAACCTGGTCCTCATAGATTTAGCTACAATTCTCTTCAGTTCAGCTAAGGGAAGGGCAGGCAGAGATTATCCAGTATGATCTTGGTGTTTCAAGGAGGCCAGATGGAAACATGGCATAGCCATTCAGGCCCTTTGAGTAGACCTGCTGCTTTGTGAAGACTGGAGAAGAGTAGGGGGTCTAAACTTGGTACAAGCCTGATCAGAGCCAGAATTCTAACTCCAGGACAGTGGTTCTCAATCTTGTTAGACTCGAGGCACCCTTTAGTAAAGCGTAGCTCAGTTTTCTATTAGTTTTTTAGATTACAATAAAATAAGAGAGCTGTTCTTTTTCTGTTGCAAAGAACTCAGACTACAATAGGGTAGGATGTTTTAAGTGTGCATTCCTGTTCGAAATCTGTGTTTATCTTATGAATCATGTTTAACAC